CACTTCATTTGGCGTGTCCCGTACATGTCCCCGGCGTGTCCCTGTATCCAACACTATCATGGTTTCCATTTTGGCGTATGCTTCATAATCAATATATATATTGCTACATAGAATACTCATAGATATAAATTGATAGGATTAGCATTTTCATGATTCACCAGCCTTTCTCATCATATTGGAGGTGAAAATATAATTTTATCTTCATTTTAGAAAAATAACAAAATTACTTTTTATATTATTTTTTTTAGAGTATTTATAATATATGAAGAGAATTACAATTAAATAATTATAATATATATATATATATATATAAGCGCACAATAACTCGTTTGTCAGCTCAACAATTAACTTAAGAAATAATTTTATAATGAGAAATAAATAAACAATACAACAAAATCTTATAATAGAAGAGAAATTATCTATTTTTTCATTTAGTAAGGATTGAATCTGACCTCTCAGATTGAAGTATACATGGTGGCCATTGAACCGACTCAGTGGTGTTTTGAAAAATTGATAAAAAAATTGACTTTTTAACTTTTTGACCTTTTTGGTGACTTTTTAAAAAAAAAAATTTGATAAAAAAATTAACTTTTTTAACTAAAAAAAATTAGAAAACCAAGAAGTTAACTTTTTACTATTCTTCCCAAAAGACCAAGTAGTTTCGTTATCATAAGGAGTGTAGCTGATGATATGATATATAGATTTGGTATTCTCTAAATCTTATACTGTACAAAACTATTTTAACAGTATTTGGTACAACCATTGAAGCATTCTTTTTAAATGATCATTTCAGCTTTTGACTTTGGCACACTCTTTAGCACAAAGTAGCTTGATAATTTGTTTTGATGGAAAGGCAATTTGTTTTTGGCAGTAATCATGAAAAAGAAAGAAAGAAAGAAAAAAAGTGAACAAAAGTTTCATATATCCTTCCAACAAAGTCGTTTTCTCTAATTTTCAAACAACCTCAAGTAGGGCTGGTGTTTTTCCCCCGCACCGCCTCGCAAGAGTTTTCTTGCCCTGACGAGCAATTGGGCCATGGTCGAATTTTGCTTCTTCCATCCTGACCTCATTTATATTTACTATATGTATTTATATGTATAATATATATATATAGATATATATCATCTAATTATTTTCAATATGATAAAATTAGAACTCAAAATATTACACTTAGCATTTATTTTCACTCATTTATTTTTCATCTTATATCTTTTAACTTTCATTAATTAGAAATCTCTATCTTCTATTATATATTATATTATCTATGATTTTTATTTTTTAAGTTATAAAATTAACCTTCTTTCTTTCTGCTCCTACCATCAACTTGATTTATCTCGCCCCAAATATGATACGAGTGGGAATGAGGGACTACAAACCAACCTCAAACCTACCCGTAAACTATCCCAACCCTTAAGACTCTGGTGGTAGTTGATGTAAATCCATAGAGTTACGGGTCTATTACCATATTGGAGTATTGTGTATTTTGTCACAGTGACCAAAATGCCCTTGGATTTTGGGATGTTGGGAGGAACATTCAACAAAAACAAATGTAAAAGATCTAACCATGTAGGGGTAACCTATGAGGTTAGACCCTACAAGGAACTGAGGTACCAGATGTCACCTTTAGGAGGTTGTTATATAGCAGGGCCACTCAACCATATAGCGGTAAATTTTGAACTCGTATACAAATAGAAATGCGAACTCATATTTTTTATACTGGGTATAGTTCGCCCAAATTTGGAAAGAACAAACAAAAAGGGCTGGGCTTCCCTTTAGTCTGATTGAAGGGTATTGTTGGGCCTATGGAGGTTCACCATAGGTCCTGTTTCGATAATTTAAACTGTTCAATGTGTAGAACTCGTCAAGTATTATATGCGTGTAAAAAAATACATTAATCGGATATCGATAACTATCTCATTGGATTAGATTTTTGTTAACCGTTTGTTTTTTCATCGTCTATTTTTTTTTAATACAAAACTGATTTGATTACGTAATTGTCGATGTCTGATCAACGTAATTTTTTTACAGCTACATAGTACTCAACAAATTCTACACATTCAACAGTTCAAATTATCAAAACAGAATCCATAATAAATCTTCACAAGTCTAAAAATATCTGATTAGAGGGAAGCTAACCCCACCAAAAACAAATGTAAGCTTAAAAAGAATAATCAGCTTTCCCAAGGCCACAAAAATACCCTTAGTTTTTGGGGTTTCACGCTTAGCACGACTCTAAAAAGAAAAAAAATTAAAAAAATGTTGTTGTTTTTGCCTAAATTCTAAACCTAAAAAGTTGTGTTTTTTTGCTTTTAGAATTAAAATAATATTACTTGTTTTACAACGTGATTTTTTCAATTAAAGTCCATGCACTTAGTGCTAATGAAAATGACAGGTATCATAGTGATATTTGACTTCTTTTTGTTTGGTTTTTAAAAATTGTTTTTCATTTGTTTATTTTTGTTTTTTTGACGAATGCTGTTATTATTTTAATAAATAAATAAATTTAAAATTTACCTAATTTGAATGTACTTAAAAAGTAAATTATATTTGAAGAAATTTGAAAATAAAGTTCACTACAAACAAATTCTGATTTTGTTTTTTAATCCTTGAAGAACTTTTTTAAATAAAGTTTTCTCACATATACTTCACTTTTTAGAAGGAAAAAAATGACTAAAATATGGAGAGAGAAAAAAAAAATTAAAGACACAAAAAAGTGCAAAATAAAAAAATAAGAAAACAATTTTTAAGAATAAAACCATACAAGATGATTGGTATTTTGTGTGGTGCCATTCAAGCTAAAAACTCAGCTCGAAATTAATTGACGTGTTGAATTTTGATTGGAGTATTCAAATGATTTTATTATTTTATAGCACTGCAGAGCCAATACTTGACATGTCGGTTTCATGTCAGTTTAATTGGGCATGAACAATTTATTTGAAATTTTAATAGGACTCGTTTAGAAATAAGTTATTTTAATAATTTTTTGATTTTTTATGAAAAATTATACAAAAAAATAGAAAGGTGATGTGATAATTTTTAATAATTTTTTAATTTTTTTTGACTAAAATAACCACTCCCAAACAAGGCCTGTATTTTCTTGTGCAAGAATAACTTAAGCCAAGTTTGGCTACAAAGGAAAAAGTGCACTTATTTCATCTTTTTATCTTTTTTGGGTCACATCAATCAACATCTCCTCTCTACTTTTTTTATATATAATACAAAAAAAGTCAAAAAATACATTTATTTAGTCTTTCCAAACTAGGCCTTACTGTAATCCCATAGCTTAGACTACGTATTCACTAAAATATCAATGCAAACAATGTATTACCTTTTTTTTATTGAAAAAGGAGTTATGTAATTTGTTATGTCTTCTGTTTTTGAATGTCTACATGGGTCTTTACTCATTACTCTCTAGCTAAGAATTAAAAGCCAACAGTTATTTATAGTTGTGAATGTGTTGGCGCAGCCAGAAATTTAGGGATTGTTTGGGATGACCTAAATAAATGTACTTTTTGTCTTTTTACGAAAAGATATATAAAAAAATAGAAAGGTGATGTGATAACTTTTAATAATTTTTTAATTTTTTTTGACTAAAATAACCACTCCCAAACAAGGCCTGTATTTTCTTGTGCAAGAATAACTTACTGTAATCCCATAGCTTAGACTACGTATTCACTAAAATATCAATGCAAACAATGTATTACCTTTTTTTATTGAAAAAGACAATATCAGAAAAGATAAAATGAACCATTTATGCTGTATAGTTCGTCGAACATATTATTCATAAAGAATTAAAAAAAATTAAATTAATCGAACACTTGTAACTCTATGATCAAATGTTAATTATTTTTAAAAAAAATTATCAAAATCAAACTAGTTATTTATTTTTTTAAAAACAAATATGATCTTGTGATAGGGTTACAAATCTCCAATTGACATTTTTTTTTTATAAATGATCTACTTAACAAACATTACTACATTTGTTTATTTAAAGTTATCCTGAAAAATTAATGAATTTCAAAATTATTTAAATTTAATTTGTTTATTTTTCAAATTAATTTTAAATAAGATTTAATTAAATTGAGCTCAAATAATTTAATGTTTCAAGTACAAACCAAGTTTGCTTTGTAGCCAAAACAAGCCTCTTGAATCAAATAATTAATTTGTTTTAAATTGTGTTTAAATATGACTAATCTATATAATAATAAATTGATCTTAAATAAAATTTTAATTAATCACAGAAATATTGATTTATTATTGGTTTACTATTAAAATATGGATGAAAATTAGGATTAAGGAAATCTAGGCAAGCATAAGCCAGAGTGAGAGGGTAATTTGTGTAGACAAATTGGGCCAAGCTATGTGAAATTGTCTTGGGAAGCTGGGCCAAATAGTGGGTCGAGGTAAGGGCTTAGATAGCCCGGTTTTGGGCTATATGGGCTCTAGGTTGGTCAATGATGGGTTGTTTGGGCTTGGACCTAGCTACCTAGGTACGATTCTTAAATAGACTGAGGTGCTAAACTAAGTGGATAAATGGCGACCGAGCAATCGTCGCTCAGTAGTGCGCCATTTGGCTGCTAAGGTTCGTATGATTTGGCTAGAGATAGACTGGAACAAAGTAGCTTGGTTGAGTATCAATAGTCGAACAAGGTGTTGTTATTTCACTTGGCTTGCAGTTAGAGAGGGTGTTCTACGGATAAATATTATTCTTTAGGAATGTGCTTCCTAGAAGGACTCTGTTTAGAGAAGTAGAGTCCTACTAGAATCGTGCCACGCAGAATCTATAAAAGCCCATGGCAGAACCTATTTCCCGGTATTGCAATTCATATTCCCGAATTCACAGAACTTTTGTATCTATTGTCTACTTGCTGACTTAGGCATCGGAGGGGTTTCTCGCACACACCTGCAAGCTAGCTCACGTTTGTGTTTTAGGTGATTAGACGACGACGTTTGGAAGAGTGCAATTGGCGTTGTCTGTGGGAAAGATACAGAAAACTTACCTCTTTACTAAGTTTTCCTTCACCTAGTTTCAATGGCGTACAACGAAGATTTGTCTCAGTCTGCTGTGGACGGACAAACTCCAAAGGGGAATAAGAGGCGCGAGAATTTACCTTTTGTTCTGTCCATAGCAGACTTAGACCCTTAGCGACGGAACCCTCATAGGGACCCGCGAGAAAAGTGGGGCTCAAGTCCTCGTCATTCTCAGAGCCCAAACGAACAAAGGCGAAGGATTGACGCCCAAGTTCTGGAAGATCAAGTTAATCGAACACTTGTAACTCTATGATCAAATGTTAATTTTTTTTTAAATTTTTTTTTATCAAAATCAAACTAGTTATTTATTTTTTTTAAAAACAAATATGATGTTGTGATAGGGTTACAAATCTCCAATTGACATTTTTTTATGAATGATTTACTTAAAAAGCATTACTACATTTGTTTATTTAAAGTAATCCTGAAAAATTAATGAATTTCAAAATATATTTAAATTTAATTTGTTTATTTTTCAAATTAATTTTAAACAAGATGTTATTAAATTGAGCTCGAATAATTTAGTGTTATAAATACAAACTAAGTTTGCTTTGTGGCCAAAACAAGCCTCTTGAATCAAATAATTAATTTGTTTTAAATTGTGTTTAAATATGACTAATCTATATAATAACAAATTGATCTTAAATAAAATTTTAATTAATCACATAAATATTGATTTATTATTGGTTTACTATTAAAATATGGATGAAAATTAACATTAAGGAAATCCAGGCATGCATAAGCCAGGGATATCATGAGTCCGGATCCTCTGCCATACTTTTCTGCAATGGTTCCTGCTGTGGCTCAAAACGGTGTCATTTTGTGCCCTTTTTTTTATTTTTTTATTTTTGGCTCTCTCAGCTGACCACTCTTACCCACCTTGTGAGCAAGAACAAGAACAGAGAGACAAGGCGAAGTGAGATCGGCGACGAGACGAAGTGAGATCAGCGGCGATTCCTTAATCGCGACTTCGTCCTCTAGTTTGATTCGATCGATCTTCCTCCCAATGGGCCGCTTTCGACAACAAATGCCCCCATCGTCGTGCTCCTCTTTCTGTAAGACCTCTAATTTGATCAATTTAAGGTTTTTTCTTTTTTGGGGATTTTGATGATAGGTTTTTGGTGTTTTTTTTAGGAAGGTAGGATAGATGAAAATGGGCACTTGCAGTGCACAAAGATGGTTCTTAATCAGACCAATCTCCTTCAATACCACAATGATCTTCTTCTCTCTGGCAAAATCTCAATTAACCTCATTTGGTATGGCAAATTCAATCCCACTCGACGAGCCATTATCTCAGATTTCGTCATTTCACTGTCTTCTTCCCCATCTCAAACCCAACTCTTTGTTGCAACCTGGTGGAAGACAACCCAGAAAGGAAATGCATTTCTCTTTGATTAGAAGATTGGGGAAATAAAGAAAAGCATTCTCTCAGTTAAGAATCGCCTCCGATCTCACTTCGCCTCGCCACCATCGTCCTCCTCAAACGTCTCTGTGTTCTTGCTCACAAGGTGGATTAGAGTTCTCAACTGAGAGAGACAAGAAAACGGCAAAAGAAAAAGGGAAAAAAAGGGCTCAAAACGACACCGTTTTGAGCCACAGTAGGAACTATTGTAGGAAACCATGTTAGAGGATCCGGACTTGGGATAGAGTCCGGATCCTCTGCCATACTTTTCTGCAATGGTTCCTGCTGTGGCTCAAAACGGTGTCATTTTGTGCCCTTTTTTTATTTTTTTTATTTTTGGCTCTCTCAGCTGACCACTCTTACCCACCTTGTGAGCAAGAACAAGAACAGAGAGACAAGGCGAAGTGAGATCGGCGACGAGACGAAGTGAGATCGGTGACGAGACGAAGTGAGATCAGCGGCAATTCCTTAATCGCGACTTCGTCCTCTAGTTCGATTCGATCGATCTTCCTCCCAATGGGCCGCTTTCGACAACAAATGCCCCCATCGTCGTGCTCCTCTTTCTGTAAGACCTCTAATTTGATCAATTTAAGGTTTTTTCTTTTTTGGGGATTTTGATGATAGGTTTTTGGTGTTTTTTTTAGGAAGGTAGGATAGATGAAAATGGGCACTTGCAGTGCACAAAGATGGTTCTTAATCAGACCAATCTCCTTCAATACCACAATGATCTTTTTCTCTCTGGCAAAATCTCAATTAACCTCATTTGGTATGGCAAATTCAATCCCACTCGACGAGCCATTATCTCAGATTTCGTCATTTCACCGTCTTCTTCCCCATCTCAAACCCAACCCTCTGTTGCAACCTGGTGGAAGACAACCCAGAAAGGAAATGCATTTCTCTTTGATTAGAAGATTGGGGAAATAAAGAAAAGCATTCTCTCAGTTAAGAATCGCCTCCGATCTCACTTCGCCTCGCCACCATCGTCCTCCTCAAATGTCTCTGTGTTCTTGCTCACAAGGTGGGTTAGAGTTCTCAACTGAGAGAGATAAGAAAACGGCAAAAGAAGAAGGGAAAAAAAGGGCTCAAAACGACACCGTTTTGAGCCACAGTAGGAACCATTGTAGGAAACCATGTTAGAGGATCCGGACTTGGGATATCATGGAGAAATTATACTTTGCTCCGTGGTAAAGTCATGTGATATTTTAAATTGCATTTAATTGGTTAAAATAATGAATCCTGCCATTTTAGTATCTTTTTTGAGAAGACAAATAAACATGTAATCTTAAGGGGTGGTTTGGCATCCTCTAAATAATTTATTTTTTTATCTTTTTTTTATCACATCACCTCTCTATTTTTCTACACATCTTTTCATAAAAGATAAAAATATACTTATTTAGATAATCCTAAACAACTCTTAAATAGTGTGGAGTAATACTCAAAAATCACTTAATACCTTCTCGATATCATGTGTTCGTATTGATTAGGTGTATTTTAGAGATGAATAATGTTACATATATTAATTAATATACTAATAAATATTTATAATTTATATAATAAATAAAATTAATAATAATAACATAATATTAATTAAGAATAATGCTTGGGACCCCTTTTGGGGGTCACCCCCTCACCCCCCTTTGCCATGTGGCAGGGGGTGATTGGAGTGCAGATTCTTGTCTGAAGTTTTTGGAGGAAAAAAAAGAAAAAGAAAAAGAAAAGGTAACCAATGAAAAAGAGAGGGGTCAAGGGGATTGAGAGAAAAGGGGGATGAATTATTACTCATTAATTAATATATGTACCAACACCATTTAGAGATTCTCTTTAACAGTCCCCAACAACAAAAGAATAACAAAGAGAGAACAAACCCTGTGGCGCATTTTAGTGGGATTGCATTGGAGTACCCAAATATTCCCTCTCATTTTGTTTAATAATCTAAAAAGTGGGCACACCTAATCACTCACCTCTCCCCCCCACTTTTGCCAAACACTCATCCTTTCACCAACAACAGCCATCAAGTAGTTTTTTCTTCAAAATTTAAATTTTTTCTATTTAATTAAAAAATGGAGTTGTTTCAATCACTAGAATAACCTAATTATGACTCCATCAAATGAAACTTTACTGGTCACACCTTTGAATCAAACAAGTATGACATTTATGCAAGAAGTATATTAGTATTCTTTCTTTGTTTGAATGGTTAAATATATATATATTTTTTTACACTCAGGTTAAAAGTTTAATTTTAAAATTTTTAAGTTCAAGGAAAAAAATAATTTAAAATATTATATTACTCCTAATTATTTGTTTATCAATCTATCTGTCTATTGTCATTGCTGGTACCGTCGATAAATTTTTTGCCAACTTTCGAATGCTAGCAAATTTTTTTATGATCGACAATTGTAATATTTGAGAATAGAAAGAAATTACAAATTTAAAAAGTGCAAAGGAATAAACTGTCACAAATATTTCTTTAACACAAATATCTAACTCTGTCTTAATGCGACATGTCCTTCGTTGGATTTATCACCCATTGTTCTCCATTTTTTTTAATTATTTTAGAATTTAAAAACTAACATGTTTAGTAATTAATGGGGAAAAATCGTTATAGAGAAAATTTTGCGAGACTTTTCAAATTTTAACCTTTTATAATATTATCAAGTCCTTACTAACCTGATAAAATAACATGATAAAACTTCGCAAACTAATAAAAATAAATAGTCTTAACACAATTCATTATGGTACGAGTCGGTGTAGGTGTATTCAATCCATTAACACCAATTTTTAATTTATGCAAGGTGTCAACTTCTTATTGTTATTTTTGTTTAAGTTATCTTAAATTTAATTGAATGTATCTTTAGAAAAGAGATTGAAAAAAAAAGGGTAATTAAATCAACATACATCACATCATAGAGTTAATTAATTACATGTAATAATGCACTACTTGGATGTAGGGGTGTTTAAATTACTCAATGGAATAATCGAACAAAATCGATCTGTCAATGTTAATTTAGTTTGATTTTTGAATGTATTGATTTAGTTATAGGTTTTTAAATCATCAAATCAACCTGAGAATCAACCTGAGAATATATTGACATGTTTTTACTTTATTACTCTATTATAATGGACTTAATTATACCTAATAATTTTTCACATATAAGAATTATTAGGTAAAGGAAAGATGTACTAGAAACTTGAATCACATTTGGCAATTGATTTAATTTGTATTGGTTGTATTAATAAATTTAATTTACAGAGAAAGACTAACAAAATGACATAACTCCATACTTTCTCAATCATAACTAAAAAAAAAAGGTCATAACCAAATACAAAAAAGTCAAAACCAAGTATCTCAAAATAATATTATAACTAAAGAAGAAAATGACATAACTGAGGGTGCATATGACATGAAGTGTGCATAATAGAATTCTTCTAATTTGTATGGGGTATACTTAAGTTTGAGTTGAATTTAATTTGTATTGACTTTCATTAAATAATATTTTGCTATTTATTTGTGTTATGTTTAAATGTTAAATAATTTTTATTTTAATTATTTATTATTAATTGATTTGCTTATTTTTAATATAGGGCTATTTTGGGAATATGCCTAAAATTCAATTTTTGGCTTTTAACCTATTTTGAGTTATATTATCTCTCTACTTTTTTATACATTTTTTTCAAAGAAAAACAAAAAGTTAATTTTTAACTAATTTTCAATGGAACCGTGGTTCTAACCCAAACCAACCTGAACTACATTGGATTGGGTTTCTTATTGGATTGGGTTTGTTCTAGTGTATGATTGATTTGGTTTTGGGTCTATAGATTTAGAACCGATCAAGATTGGATTGGTTCTAAATTTAATATCAAACTGAACTAAATCGACCCATGAACACTCCTGCTTGGATTTGATTCTAGACCGTTAACATTTTAAGGTTCATCATTCCTGTATAAAATCAAGCCAATCGAATAAAGGTAACCACGTGTTTGGATCAATTTTATATGAACTGTTTATTTTTCTACCGTCCATTATTTTTTATACAAAATTGATCTTAATACATGGTTGGTGTTATCCGATCGACCTAATTTTTTGCAGGGATGATATACTTGACAAATTCTAAAATGTGAATGTTCGAATATTTGAAACGGGACTCAAAAGTGGGCCTACAAAGCCCAACAACACCTCTCTAGTCCAATGAAAGACTGGAGAGAAGTAACACCCAATTTTTTTTTTCTTTTCTTTTTATTTTCTTGAACTCTTATTTAATTTTCTTTTAAATTTTCTAAATTACATCTTGAAACACGTGTAATAAAAAAAAATCATACAAAGCTGATTCAAACACATGGTTGTTGTTATCTGATCAACTTATTTTTTTACAATGATGACATACTCGACGAATCCTAAAATGTGAACGGTTCGAATTATCGAAATGCGATTCAAAAGTGAGCTCACGAAGCCTAACAATATCTCTCTTGTACAATTAAAGATTGGAGAGAAGCTACACCCAATTTTTTTTGTTTTCATTTTCATGAACTCTTATTTAATTTTCTTTTAAATTTTCTAAATTACATCTCAAAACACTTGTAATAAATTTTTATTGTGTAAATTACAAATATATCCCTTAAGATTTGCTTAAAATACGAATTATCTTATGCAGTTTTAGAAACTATAAATACTTCATTTTCAGAATTTTTTATTTAATAGAATTAACATACACAAATAAAATTCTTAACTACTCTTCTATACAAAAATAAAATTACATGAATTTTTAATTGAAATATATTTTTGACATAATTAAAAATGATTAATTAACTTGATGATTTGTTAATATAATGGATCATTTGTTATGCAATTGAAAACTTGAAGAGACATGATGTAATTTCTATAACCATAGAGGATAATTCATATTTTATGCAAATATCAGATAGTGTATTTGTAATTTACCTATTTTAACATGTAAAATTAAGGAAAAATTAATGAAACATCCGTCTCCAACTTTGGGTAGTAGGAGAGGTTTAAATTTTTTTTTATTAACTAAGATCTCTCTATGAAATTTCTCTACGTCAAAGCAAAGTTTCTTTATGTTGAATTTTTTCTGTAAAAATATTGAGACCACAACTATTATGAAAAATATTATATGTTATTTGAGCAAGGATCCTCTAGAGTGAAATTTCCCTAAAGTTTCCTAGAGTGCTATATTGTGTGATTGAGATTTACTGGCAAGTCACATCAGAAAAATTGATGTGACTTGCCAGTAAATCTCAACCACACAATGTAGCACTCTAGAAAACTTTAGGGAAAAATCACTCTAGAGGATCCTTGGTGATGTTATTTATCTTATAAAATCTTAATATTAAGAAACTTAAAAAAAATTCTCTAAAATTAATAAAATAATAATACAACATATGTTATAAAGAAATTTATCATTTACGATTGTTAAAAATAACCATTCATTTCCTTTCATTCTACTATAGTAAATCAAATGTTTAACAATATATATATATATATATATTTTTAATTTTAAATCTTTCAATGAACCAACAAAGAAATACATGCATTTTGATACTTATTGTACCTCTTAGAGTAACCTTTTATTTTATTTTATTTTATCAAGCTTGTTCAATAATTTAGATGTAAAACTTGATTTGATATAGCCCATTTTAATGGTGAGAATTATTTTTTTGAAAAAAAACATTTAGGTTGCGTTTGGTAGATTTTGTAAATATGATTTGAGAATATGAGTTGTATTTTGAGTTTGTGAGTTGTGGAATTATTATTTGAGTGTAGAAAATTTGTTTGGTTGTGGTTTTTTAATAGAGTGTTAAATTGAGTTTTGAATTGTGTATGGAATTGAGTTTTGAAACTTTGATTTGACATGTAAAGTAAGAAAATTTGTTTCGTTATGAGTTTTGGAAAGAGTTTTCAAAACTTAATTCAAATTATTATAACTCATAATAAAACATACTATTTTCACACTATTGAAAATTCTGATCAACACTCATAATAAACTCTTTTTAAAATTCAATTAAAAAAATTATTATTAACAGAAAATAATATTAATTAATTTTTTAATTGAAAATACTACAAAGGAAATGATTTTTTTTCAAAATAAATATTCAAAAAATTTAAATCATAAATATTTAAATAATTTAAACAATCTAAAAAATTTAATAAGTAAAAAATTAAACTAAATATTCAAAAATTTTAAATTGTAAAAATTTTAATAATTTAAATATTCAAAAAATTTAAATAATTTAAAATGTTAATATTTTAAATTTAAAAACAACTCTACACTCAAATCGTAACCAAACACATAAAACAAAACTCAATTAAGAAATTATTTTTAAAACTCATAACCAAACACATAACTCGAAACTCTATACTACTTTCACAACTTAAAATATTGATTTGAATTGAGTTTTGAAAAGAGTTTTGAATTATGTGTTTGGTTATGAGTTTTGAAAAGTAAAGATTATGTTTTGAATTTAGTTTTGAAAAATGGGTGTAGAATTATGATTTGAAAGATCCAAACAAAGCCTCCGTTTGGGAAGTGGGTTGACTTTTTGGCTTTTTTGGCTATTTTAGCCTGGGCTAAAAAGTTTGGTTTGAGAACGGTTTTTTGGCTTTTTGACTTTTTTGATTTTTTTTGTGAGAGAAGAGTGTAATGATTATGGGTTGGATGTGATGTTTTGTTTGTTGTGGCTAAAATAGCCTGTTTTGTCTTTTGTGGCTATTTTAGCCCCAACCCAACTTGCCAAACACCACCAAACAACACACTCAAATCAATAAGTGGAACTATGGCACCATTTGGGAAGAAGAATATGAGATTTTTTTGGCTATTTTAGCCACAAAAGACAAAATAGGCTATTTTAGTCACAAAAAATAAAACATCACATCCAACTTATAATCACTACACTCTTCTCTCACAAAAAAAGTCAAAAAAATCAAAAAGTCAAAAAGTCATTCCCAAACCAAGCTTTTTAGCCCAGGCTAAAATAGCCAAAAAAATTAAAAAGCCAAAAAACCAACCCACTTTCCAAACTAATCTTATATTTTGAAATGCTTACCAAAGGAAGCCTTAGACTATCTCAAAAACGCTCTTTTAACTAATTGAGGTGAAAAAACCTGATCTTCAATCCTTCATTTTTAAACAATTTTATTAAATTTAAATAATAAAAAAATGATTGTTGAAAATTTAGGTATAGATTTGATTTTTCTCTCATTTGATGAAAATTTGGATGAAAGCCTTGTATTATTTAATGAATAAATTATTATTATTATTTTTTCATAAAATTTGAATTTAATGAAAGTCTCTTGACCTGTGTTTGGCAAGTGGGTTTGCAGGCTTTTTTTACTATTTTAGTCACAAAAAATAAAATAGGTTATTTTAGCCATAACAAACAAAACATCACATCCAACCCATAATCAATACATTCTTCTCTCACAAAAAAACTCAAAAAAGTCAAAAAGCCAAAAAGTCCTTCCCAAACCAAACTTTTAAGCCCAGACTAAAAAAGTCAAAAAAACCAAAAAGCCAAAAAGTCAACCCACTGCCCAAACGGAGGCTTGGTATTTGGTTAAAATAATCAAAAATTATAAATTATAAATTATGATATCACCATCTCTATTTTTTTATAGGGGGATTTATTAGAATTTTTTTCTTTTAAGTACTTGTATCACGATTATAACATATTCTTTTATTTTAATAAGTCTTATTATTTGAACGTTTGATTTATCAAATATTAATTTTCATATTTAAAGTATTTTATAAATAATTTTATCATTATAATTATTTTTTAAACGTTTAGTAACTTGGTGATGTAAACATTTATATTTTATAATGCGAATGTTTCTATTGACAATGTGAACGTTCACATCACATAACATTTACATTGTCAATATTAATATTATTATTAAGAATATTTTGATAATTATGTTACTCATAAGATTTATTATAACATAAAAAAATAATTTAAATTAAGTAAAAGATTGATTTATGAATGAATATATATTTTTTTATATAATAGGACTTTTTATAAAGGGCCCGGTTTCTATTCAGTCTCAGATCGAATTGGAGGGTGCTGTTAGGCTCATGAGGGTTTATCACGGGTCTCGTTTTGATAATTTGAACCGTTCAATATGTAGAATTCGTCGAGTACTATATATCTATAAAATATCACGTTGATCGGATATTGATAGTTATTTCATCGGATTAGTTTTCTTTTTCTGTCCACCTTTTATTTTTTCATCGTCCATTGTTTTTTTATACAAAACTGATTTGATCATGTAGCTATCGATATCCGATCAATGTGATTTTTTACAGAAATATAGTACTCGACGAATTATACATATTCAACGATTTAAATTATTAAAACAAAACCCGTGATAGGCCCCTATGGACCTAACAATACCTTATAAAATATCAAAAAAACCTCATTGGATATCCACTTTCCCAGTACAATGATTTCAATTAAGGATAAAGCTTGGGAGCTCGAATGAGCTCCTCTCCGAATCCCCCGAAAATGGAAACAAAGGGAAATAGAGGGGGAAAAGAGGGTGAAGGTAAGAGAGAGAGAGGGGGAGAAAGAGAGAGGAGAGGAGAGAGGGAAACAGAGAGAGAGGGAGAGGAGCTCGGCCCATCGCAGCAGTTCGCCCGATCGCCGATTCGCAGCAGTTTGGCTGATCGCCAATCGTCGCAGCAGCTCAGCCTCCGCCTCGCCTCCACCCCTGGTTTATGCCCCCTGTCCAGTTCTCCCTTCTCCCTTCTTCTTCTTCTTCTTCTTTTTTGCCCTTCTCTTCTTCTTCTTCTTCTTCGTTTCTGATTCAAAAAAAAAAAAAAAAAGACAAAAACGACGTCGTTTTTGCCTTTAAGGAGATTCGAGAGACCATTTTCGAGCGACGTAGCATTACTCTTCAATTAAAACCTTAGATTATTTTGAGAAGATAATTAAAAATTATCTTCTAACTTTTAATTTATTTAAAATTACATGGTTTCTCTAAATTTTTACATATTTTTTTTTAAAAAAACCAAAAAAAATTTTAAAAATTCAGTTTTTAATCATTCTTATTAAACTATGTGGCGCTTCCTTAAAAAATAAAAAAAAATAAAAAAAAAAACTATCTGGCGCATTCTAGCAAAGTGGGTCAGCTCTACAACAGCTTTAACAGAACACTAATATATAATATTAAAAAAAATTTTAAAACCCAAAAGCCAACAAAGAGGAAGACAAGACAAGCCAACCACGTGATCTGCCAAAGAAAGACCTCACATCCCATTGGTCTCTCTGATCAATCCTATACAACCCTTCACTCCACAGTCACTCATTGAAAAGAAATATTTTTTTTCAAAAAAAAAATAAAAAAAATCATTATCTGTTACTTTTCACAATTTTTTTAAATTAATTCATAAGCGGTGATTTGGTATCTCTTACCTAATTTTTATTTTTATTTTTTTTCACCACATCATATTTTTATTTTTTTACATATTTTTTTTATAAAACGATAAAAAATACATTTATTTATTTAGATCATTTCAATCAATCCTCTAAAATCATTTTTAACAGTGTCTCGGCTGCATCCATATCCGTGATGCCTTGGGCTCTTGTTTTGGCATTTTTTGTGTGTATTTTGTATTTTTCTGGTATATAGATAGAGACTCTGTGATACTGATTATAATTGATCTTGAGAAGATATGGTGGAGAAATGGAATCACGGGGGTTGGACAGTGGTGGTCTAAAAACCAGAAAACATACCCACATGGAATTTGTGGGGATCGGTTACAAACACATAAGTGAAATCACTACCCCATCACTCGCAGATCTCTTGGTACTCGGAATTCCAGGCTTACTTTCTGTTTGTTTCTCCAGAAAATTCCCTCTTTCTTGATGTTTTCTCTGGCCTAAATGTTGCCCTTTTGATTCCCAGCTATGTAAAGTTGTGCCAGACATGAATTTTAGCTATTGGGTATTTGTTTTTGCGGAGTTTTAGCATCTGGGTCTTGGAGTTTATGAAGTTTTGTCGACTGTGTGGAGCAGTTTTGAGTTTTAGCTATTGGGTTTTTGTTTTTGCTGAGTTTTAGCATCTGGGTCTTGGAGCTTGTAAAGTTTTGCAGACTCTTTGAAGAGTAGTTTTGAGTTCGTTTGAAGATAATCTTGGAGTTCATGAAGTTCTGTTTGTACGAGGCAATGCAGAGTTTGTAAATTGATGTTTGAATGGCTTCTGTGATTGTTGTTTATGGTGGTTTTGATCAGTGGGCACTGTTTATGTAGAGAAAGTAAAGTTGTTGACGTTAGAACAGAGTATGGAAAGAAGAGGGTTTTTGTTGTGGAGATTAGGATTACTGGTTTTGACATTGATGGATGGCTCTTTTGCAACTCTCTCTCCTTCTGGTATAAACTATGAAGGTCAGTTTCTCTTTGGGATGATTTCATTTTCTCAATGTCTGTCTTCTTTCTTTAGAATCAAACACTTCAAAGAAAATCACAACCCAGAAATTAGGTAGGTTTTCCAAATAAGGTCTGATTACTTGATTCCCTATTTGGAATATGATATCTGGTGAAAATTAAAGTTCAGGCTCTACTGTCTATGGATATCTCTGGTTTTCTGCTTGTTCCTTTTCTTTAATTCAGTATTGAAATTTGCTCTTAGTTGTTCAATTTAGAATGAAGATGGGAAAGAAAAGAAAAAAAATGTGTTCTCACAGTGACCCTTCTGTTTGTTAAATTCCAATTATGCAGTTGTAGCTTTGATGGCTATAAAAAATGGTCTCAATGACCCATACACTGTTCTGGAGAACTGGGATATTAATTCAGTTGATCCTTGTAGTTGGAGGATGATTACATGCACTCTAGATGGCTATGTGTCTGCTTTGTAAGTTTGCTTATTCCATTTACATGTTGCTTACTTTTACATGGATGTTCTAGTAGAAGTAAACTGAATAGAAAATTCATCATATTTGCAAATTCTTTGCTGTCAAACTCATTGTTGGGGTGCTGTTTGTCTTCTTAACAGAGGACTGCCTAGCCAGAGCTTGTCGGGGACCTTATCACCATGGATCGGAAACCTCAGTAACTTGCAATCTGTGTAAGTTTCAATCATTTTTCTTCTATGCAATATTAGTACAGTCCTCATTAGTAATCTATGAGTTCAGTTTTAATTATGCCATTGATATCACATACAATTATTCTTATAATTGTGTAGGTTGCTGCAAAATAATGCAATTCTGTCCGCCTGATTCCTGCTGAAATTGGGAAGTTGGAGATGCTTCAGACACTTGATCTCTCCAACAATAAGTTTAGTGGTGAAATACCCACTTCTTTGGGCAACCTCAAGAATCTGAATTATTTGTAGGTTTCAGTAACTTTCTTCAACCTTGAGTTGCCCTAGATATTTCACAATTTTGTACATTTGGAGTAGAATTGTTTCTTTGAATTGACTCCTTTTTGTTGGTTTTTTGAGCAAGTCAGGCGACTAAACAACAATAGCCTTACTGGACCCATTCCTGAATCTTTATCCAAAATTGAAGTCCTCACTCTTGTGTATGTCTTTTCCCCCCTTTACACCTTTCTTTTCATTTTTCCATGTGCAAAATATTGGGGGAGACCTCAGAAATATGTCTTTATTATCTTAAGTTTAAGAGAAACAAACTTTTTTGCTTCTTCCGTGTGAAAATGTCTTTAACATATTACGTTATGCAGGGACCTTTCTTTCAACAATCTTAGCAATTCCGTGCCAAAAATATCTGCAAGAACTTTCAAGTGAGCTGCCCCAATCATATTGCCTAGTTCTTATTTGCTGTCATTTTTAATTGATGAAGTTCTCATGTTGCTTCTCTCTGCTTTTAGATTAACGGGCAACCCTTTAATTTGTGGACCTAATTCAAAGTACAACTGTTCTGTTTATCCTGAGCCACTCTCCTTCCCGCCAGATGGTATAGTAGTATTTAATTTGTTTTTAAGTTACATCTCTACTATTCCATGGTAGTTAAGTGACATGTTTGTTCTCCCCAGCTGAAACAGAATCAGGGAAGAAAAACCACCGTGTGGCTTTTGTATTTGGTGCTAGCTTTGGATCTGCACTTTTAATCATAGTAATTATTGGATCACTTGTTTGGTGGAGATATAGACACAACAAGCAAATTTTCTTTGATGTTAATGGTTAGTTCTTTTGTAATCTATCTTTGTTGTGTTTCAGTTTCTTAAATGATAATTGTAGAATCTCATGGCATTTTTATGATTAATTAAATGCATTTGTGCTACAACTTAGACGCATTAGATTGTCATAATTCATGTTGGGTACACTGAATTTGGCCGAATCATTGAAGAATTTAGTGCCAGAGTTGTGCAAAATATGTGAAGGATTTTTAACTCAGACAGTGAACGTTGTATCTTATTGGTCAATGAAGTTTCAGGTAATCTTAAATTTGTCCCCACCTCTGGTCTGAAATCTTCTGATTTCGACTTTAGAATCAGCATCTTTGGGATGAGGAACAGTATCCTTCAATTTATGAGGCTGATGATTGTGTTACTGCCCTAATATGTCAAGCTAAATTCAAATATTTATAACATAAAAAGGAGATAAATGTATATATATATGTTTATTTACTAAATGTGTATGCGTATTCTTTTCCCCTAAGCCCACGAATGATTAGTCAATCAAAGTGGACCTTCCTATTTTGTAGGCAAAAATACAATATGGCCAAATATGTGAGTGAGTGAAAAGGAAAAACTTTCACTCCTATTGAGGCCTCGTTGTAACTTTTTGGCTTTTTAGCTAAAATGTGATGTAAAAAAAACTAATATATTTGGGATGACTTTTTGGTTTTTTACGAAAAGATGTGCAAAAAGTAGAGAAAAAAGAGAATTTTTGACTTTTTGGTATGGGTTGTTGGCTTTTTGGTTTTTTTAGTGACTTTTTGACTTTTTGGCTAAAAAAGTCATTTGCCAAATGAGGCCTGAGTAATGCAAAGCAAGCTATTCCCTGGAAATTCCTTCCCCAAAAGTTAGTTGCTGTAGTGGTTACAAATTTTCCTTGCTTGTTCGGTATCCATTGAAATACACACATGATGGAGTTTTCCAGAAGATTTTTTTAACTGATATTGGATTAACTTGGTTATTAAGAAAAAATTTAAGTGAAAGAAACAGGAAAAGAAGGGCATACGAGAGTGGATCAAGTGAATCTGTGAGGTCTAGCCATCATTCCTGTGTTCAGAAGGTTGTCATCAGTAATTATACAATTGTTTTCTTTTTAAAAATGGGAAGTGATTTAAAAAGTTTATACAAATAAAAGTCATCACTTAGATTTCATTTTTTCCATTTGGCCATAGTCCTTTTAAGGAAGATTTCTATTGTACCACTGAATGAAATTATAGTTGAAACAATCACAGGAGTATGCCCTTGTGTTGTTGTGTTATTTGATACATTTAAGGTAGCATTTTTAATTTAGTATCTTTGATTGTGTTATTTGTTTTGATCGCTACAGATATTCCATCCTTTTCCCTCTTTACTATTCTGAGCTGCAATTTATTACTTGGCAGATCAATATGATCCAGAGGTATGCTTGGGCCATTTGAAAAGGTATACCTTTAAAGAACTCCGGGCTGCAACCGATCATTTCAACGTGAAGAATATTTTAGGGAAAGGCGGATTTGGAATTGTCTACAAGGGTAGCTTAAATGATGGGACTACGGTGGCTGTGAAAAGGTTGAAGGACTTTAACGGTGTTGGCGGTGAAATCCAATTTCAGACAGAAGTAGAGATGATAAGTTTGGCAGTCCATCGGAATCTTCTGAGGCTTTGGGGGTTCTGTACGACTGAAAATGAGCGGATTCTTGTTTATCCATACATGCCAAATGGGAGTGTAGCTTCTAGATTAAGAGGTTAGTGGAATTCATTTTTCACTGCTTACAGTTGGCTTAACGACTCATTAATGTTTGTTTAGCAACAACTTTAAGGAAGTATGACTTCTAATGGTAAATTTATATTTCTTTTGCAAGATCTTAAGTTCAACATATAGTGTTAGTTAAGCCAAGCGCCCTCTTGTAAATTGCAAAATGTTGAAGGTGCAAAAATGGCCCTTTAGAACTTTCCTTTCATGAAAGAGATGAAACTTGGATGAGAAAGAACGAGTGAAAATGACACCCTGGTAATGAGGCAAAAGAGATGAGTAAAAAGGAAAGAAGGTATTGCCTTTCTTGTTGGAGATTGGATTTGTCCTGTGTGAACTGGAGGGAGAAAATTTCGATTGTTCAAGTTTGTGTAATGATTGACCACAAACAATGACCTCAAATCTTTTTCCTTCATTGCTATGGGAGAGGACTAATGCACCATCACCACCAGTTTCAGCAGTTTGAACTGAAAATGCCTTCACTGCTGTTGTCTTCACCAAATGTTGTTGAAATATGTCCCACATCTTCTGGAGTTGCCCTATCTGTGCTAGTTATAAGGCTCTAGCTTCCCTCTCCTTAATATCTGAGTTTTAAGGAGAAGTGTGAGTTTGGCTTTTCAATTAATGTCACTACCACAGCCCCTCCACCTTAAAGCCCTCTCACCACAGCCTCCTAGCCTTGACGATTACTGCTACTTTTGGAATATTTACTCCACTTTTGCTATCACCCTACCATTTTTGCTGCTTCACTGTTCCTGTCCCCTCAACTCTTTTTTTTCAATAAAGTGTCAAGTGTTCCTATTTTTAAGTCATCAATTGTCCCAAAAATTTAAGCTGTTAGGAAATTTGAGAGAAGCTATCAAATAATGTATATCAAGCAATCAAACACCCTTTAATGTATTTCAAGCTATCAAATACTTTTTCCCGCGTGTAATCCCGTCTTGCATGTGGAGATGATAACATTCATACATAGAGAGAAGGAAGAATGCAACTGAAAGAGAGAGAATGCAAATGTGGAGCAATTTTCCCAAAAGCTTACAGGAAAATAGACTAAAATAATGAATATAAACAAAGAATGCAAATGAATGAGAAAGAATGCAAACGTGGACCAAATGTGAATAGAGAAACTTGAACCTAAGACCTCCCCTTACTTGAGTTCTCATACTGTGTTAAGTTACCAATTGTCCTACAAGCTTAAGTTGTTAGGAAATGGGATAATGTCTATCAAGCTATCCAACACCTATCCCATCAACTTGCAAGCTTTCTTTACCAAACTGCCACTGGATTGCTAGAAAAAGCCCTGCGGAGTTCTTACATTCATCTAAACTAAATATTTTTATCTTCTGAATTTATTAACCATTGGTCATTTTGCAAGTAACATTCTAATAGCTTCTAATCTACTTATCAGTGTGAAGGAGATTTGGGGATTTGACTCAGCCTTATCTTTCTGGCAATTGTTTGAAGGGGTTGGGATTTGGGGATCTTGGGCTAGACTGTAAAGTAGACATTGTTTTCGCTTTGAATTGCTTCCAAACATATGTAGTGCGATCTCATTTGCTTATTTGGAAATTCTACAACTATGCTGCCCACTTGTAACTTGCCATGTCAAATATTGGTTCACCACCTGTTTACTAAATAGTGTTTCTTACTTTTTAAGTTACATTTAGCTTTGTCGAACTGTCAGATTCTGAGCAAAGGTGTTCAAGTTGTATTGCTCATAAAATTTAATTAAAATATCTTCTGTTTTCCTTGGTGATAACACAGTTACAAAACTTTCTTTTTGTTCAGTAGCTTCCTAGGTGATGAACATTTCCAGGACATAGATTATGCTGAATAAAGTAGATTTATTTCAATTTTTTTGTTTTTTTACCAGATCACATTCATGGTAAACCAGTTTTAGACTGGTCCAGGCGAAAGAGGATAGCTTTGGGTACAGCACGGGGGCTACTATATTTGCATGAGCAGTGCGACCCAAGAATTATTCACCGGGATGTTAAAGCAGCCAACATTCTGTTGGATGAAGACTTTGAGGCAGTTGTTGGAGATTTTGGGTTGGCAAAGCTCTTGGATCCCCACGATTCTCATGTGACGACAACCGTGCGTGGAACCGTCGGCCACATTGCTCCCGAGTATTTGTCAACTGGGCAATCATCAGAGAAAACTGATGTGTTTGGGTTTGGAATCTTGCTCCTCGAGCTAATTACAGGCAAGAAGGCTTTGGAGTTTGGTCGAGCAGCAAACCAGAACCAGAGAGGAGTAATGCTTGATTGGGTATTTCCTCTCTCTCTCTCTCTCTGATTTGGCAAAACGTGAATAAATGAGCTGAAGAATAAATCTCAACTTATCTACTCTGGCATACGCAATCTTGGAAGTGAAGCATTCTCAATCTTGCTCCTACAGTGAAAAAGAACAAGCACCATACCCTCTATATACTACATTTCCTTCTTTTTTTTTCAGTCCTATCCTAACAAAATTGAATAATCGGAGAAACTTTCCCATTCGAAGAAATCTAAAATCCCAAAACGTGCTATAACATTAGCTAATGTGGAAATGCTTTCCACTATGCTACCACGGTGAATTCAGAAAAACCTTTTAATCCATAACTGCTTTTTCTTTATTATTCTTGTTGAATTTTTTTTCTCACATTTTACCATAACTTTTACGCAGGTGAAAAAGCTTCACCAGGAGGGAAAGCTGAATGTATTGGTGGACAAAGATTTAAAGGGAAAATTTGACCGCGTAGAGTTAGAAGAAATGGTTAAAGTTGCCCTTTTGTGTACTCAATTCAATTCTTCTCAACGCCCCAAAATGTCCGAAGTATTGAGGTTGTTGGAAGGGGAAGGCTTAGCTGAGAAATGGGAAGCCTCACAAAATGTTGAGACGCCAAGGTACCTCCGATCATTTGAATATCCTCCTGAAAGATATGCAGATTTCATAGAAGAATCTTCACTCACACTCGAAGCAATGGAACTCTCTGGCCCCCGGTGACAAATTTTTTTCCCCTTCCTATACAGTTAAATTTCTCTGTTTCATTTGGTTGCCCAGCTTTGAAGTGAAAGAAGTATTTGATTGGTGTTGATAGCTATTGAATATGAATGTATTCATCTGTAAAAAGAGTAATATATATAAAGCATTTTGTTCTTTGTGAAATATTGGTTGAGTTGATAGGAATTTGTTTGCAAATTATGAATTAATTTTTTTGTTTGGTGGCTCAGATATAAACCAATACCCAGACAGCACTTGGAATTTTCTTTAAATGGTTTAAAAACATGATTATGGATAGAGATGAACCTAATCAACCAAGAAAATTTTGGAAAAAATAGAGCATCTTTATTTTATTAGGGTTTTGTTTAGAAATAAAGTATGATTCCGATCTCAAGTTTGGTCTGGCCGGATTTGAAAACTGTTTTAAAATTTAATTATTGTGATAATGCCCGATCTGAACTTGATCCAGCCGTAAAATGTCCACGCCTACTATTATTCTGAATCTGTTGACAAATTTTTAATCTGCAAATTGAATCCGATCCAATAATTCAATAAGAGATTTTAATTTTTTTTTTTTTTTTTTAAATTTTTTTCATGCTGGGGGTTAAAAGATATAATTGTTGGTTGTCAAGATATTTTATTTGTGTTTTTGCCCGCTTTCAACCTCTTCTAAATAGTCTGATTAGTCTCAGTCAAAGTAACCTTATTTCTGGGCGTTCTACACATGACAACATTATCATAACCCAAGAGATTATTCATATCTTAAAACATAGGAAGAGTAAGAATGGGGGCATGGTTATTAAACTTGATTTGGAGAAAGCTTATGATAGAATATCTTGAGATTTTCTTAAAAATACCTTGATTGAATTCAATCTTAATAACCATTGGGTGGAGCTTATTATCTCTTGTGTGTCTTCTGTTTGTTCGTCTATTTTGTGAAATGGAGAAACCATGAGTGAGTTCAAACCTGGGAGGGGTCTTAGACAGGGGGACCCTCTCTTACCATACCTCTTTGTCTAATGCATGGAAAGGCTCTCAAACATGATTAGAATTCAAGTTGAAAACAATAGATGGAGGGGCATCAAAGCTTCTAAGAGCAGCCCTCGGTTTCTCACATTTTCTTTGCAGATGATCTCCTTTTATTTGCTACAGCTGATCACAAGAACTGTGAAATCATTGTGCAAACCATGAAAGAGTTCTGTCATATCTCTGGTCAGAATATTAGTCTTGCCAAGTGCAAGATGTTCATTTCCCCTAATGTTGAAAGCAATAAAGCTAAAGCTCTAAGTCTGCATTATGGTATCTCTTTGACTTAAGATCTGGGCAAATATCTGGGCGTACATGTTATTCATGGCAGAGTAAGTAGAAGTATATTTAACAATGTGATTGAGAGAATTCAAAGTAAGTTGTCTTCTTGAAAAGCAAAGACTCTTTCTCCGGTAGGAAGAGCAACTGTCATTCAATCTGTGTTTTCTGCTATCCCTTCATACATTATGCAAACTTCCAAACTACCCCAGAGTGTCTGTAAGCACATTGATAAACTTAATAGGAACTTCTTGTGGGGAGATTAGACTAATAAGAAAGTTGTCCACTTGGTGAATTGGAGACTTGTATGTAGAAACAAGCAGGATGGAGGACTTGGGCTTAGAAAAGCGGAGGATCAAAATCTAGCCCTTCTCACAAAGTTAGGTTGGAAATTAGTATGTGATGAAGAAGCTACTTGGACCAAGATTCTAAAAGGAAAATACCTTCAAAAGTATAATTTTTCTGACTGGCCTAGGCATAGAAAAGCCTCCCATACTCTGTGTAGTATTATGAAAACTAGAGAGATTCTCAGTAGAGGCATGAAGTGGGCTATTGGGAATGGTAAGAAGATCTTTTTTTGGAATGATTGGTGGTGTGGTAAAAGTGCTCTAGCCAACATACATCCAAGGCCTCACACCCATGATGATCTCAAGGTAGGGGATTTGCTTGATGAGGATGGGATTTGGAATCTAGATAGTGTTTCTAATTTTCTATCACCTCATTCAATTCAAAACATTCGGAAAATTCATCTTCCCAAATTTGTTACACTCTCAGACAACCCTCATTGGAAATGCTCAACAAATGGAAGGTTTTCTGTTGGGGCTGCATATGATCTAATTGCATCTCATGTTCAGGATGATGATATGGTTCATTGGAGTTGGATTTGGAAGCTTAAAATCCCCCAGAAACTTCAGGTTTTTGTTGGCTACTCCTACAGGGCAAACTGCTCACTAATCAACATAGAAAACCAGAGGGTTGACTTTGGATGATGCTTGTCCCAGATGCAGTATGTACTGTGAAGACATCACCCACCTTTTACGTGAATGTCCCAAAATAGGGGAAATTTGGAAGGATTTGAAAGGAAAAAGATGGCTAGAGTCTAGTTTACACACCCCTCTTGAGCAATGGATGTAAGTAAATATGAAGAACAAGTACACTAAAGTTCAAAATATACCTCGGGACTCATTTTCATTGTTACACTTTGGAGAATATGGAAAGACAAAAATAACATGGTGTTTCAAAATGAAGACTGCACTGCCTATAACTCTATTAGATTAATTCATTTCCAAGTTGCTGAAATCCATGAGGCCTTCCAGAAGGATCGCTTTAGTGGTGATAGAATTATTAAATCCACTAATTGGTGCCTTCCTTGTGCAGGTAACATCAAGTTAAACACTGATGGGTGCTCAAAGGGAAACCCAAGACCGGCGGGTTATGGAGGGCTTTTCAAAGATGAACGAGGCACGTGGCTACTAGGCTATAATAGGAAATTAAAGGAAACAACAAGTGTGGAAGCTAAATTATGGGGTATCTATAGAGGGTTGACTATCATTTTGGAGAAAGGCATGAGGAACGTCTACGTAGAGATTGATTCAGAACAGATGGTCCTTCTTATCAATGGGGAAACACCAAAGCAGTTCCTTTATAGAGCTCTTCTTGAAGACATCAAGTTTCTTATGGGCAGATGCAGTTGCTCTGTCAAGCATATCCTGAGAGAGGCTAACCAAAGTGCAGATGGGTTAGCGAATATTTGAGTCAATCATCTTGAAGACCTGGTAGTGCTTGAGGACCCGCCAAGAGAAATTGCAGACATGTTGATTGCAGATATTGATGGGGCATCAAGTGCTAGGGCCTAGTGATTTGTTTTTGTTTTTTTTTTTTGGTATCCTCTATTTCTGTTGTCTTTGTTACCTTTCCTCTTGAATAAAAAAAGAAAAGAAAATAAATGTTAATAAAACAAATAAATAAATATTTCTTGTTATGCTACCGTGATATACGTTTGGTCTGCTGGCATCGAATGATCTTCACAATGATATATGAAAGGGATCATTTATTGGGTGAAATTCTGTTTTTTAATAATTCACTTATTTCAAGGAAAATTTAGTCAAAATCTCTTTATTGGACCCTTATTTAGTGAAAAAGATAGCCTAATTTATTTTGTTGCATAAATCCCTTAATAAGAAAACACATAATTGAGTAAGGACAAAGTAGAATATCTTCTTTTTTTTTTCTTGGACAATATTGCTAGAGTAACATATTACTCTGAACTAGAGTAACACGTTACTGTCAAACAGAATAACATATTATTGTGAGACAGAGCAATATGTTATTGTCAAACAGAGTAACATGTTATTGTGAGACAAAATAACATGTTAATACTTTGCTGAATAACATGTTCTTATTTCTTTTAAGTCCATAGATGAACATTGGAAACATCTTCACTCCTTCCTCCAGATTATTAAACATAATGGTTTAGTCATATTTGCCCCTAAAATTAAGTTATTTTAAACTAAAGTCAGATTTTTAGGTTATGATATATATCAAAGTACTATTCTTCCAATTAGTCGATCTATTAAATTTGCCTCTAAGTTTCCTGATGAAATTTTAGACAAAACTTAGTTGCAACGATTTTTAGGTTCTCTTAATTACATTGCTGAATTCTATCAAGACTTTAGGAAAGCCTGTCAACCCCTTTTTGATTGGTTGAAAGATGATCCTCCTCTATGATCTCCCAGTCACACTGCTATTATGCAACAAATCAAAAAATATGTCAAAACTTTGCCTTATCTTGGTATTTCTATTGAAAATTCATTCAAAATTATTCAAATTAATGCATCTCATGTTGATTATGATGGCATTCTCCTTCAAAAAGTCATTCCTAAGTTATCTGAACAAATTATTCATTTTTACTCTGGTGTTTGGAACAAAGCACAAAAAAATTATAGTACTATTAAGAAAGAAATCTTATCTATTGTATTATGTATTAGTAAATTTCAAGATGATATTTTAAATTAAAAATTTTTACTACGAGTTAATTATAAAAGTGCTAAATATGTTTTACAAAAAGATGTTCGGAATATTGCCAGTAAATATATTTTTGCCCGTTGGCAATCTATTTTAAATATCTTTGATTTTAAAATTGAATATATTCCTGGTAATCAAAATTTTATTCCTGATTTCCTTATCCAAGAATTTTTAAGGGGGGAATAGTGCTCATGCCTACTCCTTATTGTTTTATACACAAGTTACAAGTTACCTGTTACTGCAACTTAATCCGTTGTTGTGCTTTTAAAATATCTTTCATAAAGTTAATAGATCACGACCCTTACCTTCAATTTCAACAAATTCGTAGTTAATGCAGTTTGATTGCCCATTACACTAATTTTCTCAATTTTCATATTGATAAATTAGATCTCCTTAGTGGATGCTAATCTCTTTCTGCATTACAGATGTCCAGTCACAAACCTTCTTCAAAACCTCTTACCATTGTGCCAATCAGTCAACTTATTGTTGCACCCCTGATTGACTTAGTTAACCGCTATCAAATCCTTGGTAATATTCCTAAAACCTAGTTAAACTTCAGCCCTAGCCTCAGATCCCTTTGCATGCTAGTCAATTACTCCCATGCCATCTAATTATCCAGTCAAATCGACCCCAAGAACTGATTATGTTCTTAAACAGTCATCTAACCTATTTTACAAAGAACCAGTCCATAAAAACATTCACAATGTTCTTGAGTTAGTCCAGTCCTATTTCCTTCTTGGATGGCATTTTACTCTCTCCTATCCAGAGAAGTTAATTACTTTTTATAAGGATATATTCTTTCACCACCAGTCCATAGTTATTAAACCTATTTATGATCAAGTTAATGCCAGCAAAAT